GGCTCAAGTGGTAGAGCGCTAGCCTTGAGCTGAAGAGCTGAGGGACAGTGCCCAGGCCAAGTTCAAGCCCCACAACCGGACCCCAAAAAAAAAAAAAAAGAAAGCCGGACAGCAGTGGCTCACACCTATAATCCTAGCTACTCAGGAGGCTTGAGATCTGAGGATCACAGTTAAAAGCCAGGCTGGGCAGGAAAGCCCTTGAGACTCTATCTCCAATAAACCACTCAGAAAACTGGAAGTAGCGCTGTGGTTCAAGTGGTAGAGTGCTTACCTTGCTGAGGGCTCAGGAACGGTGCCCAAACAAGCCCCACAACCAACCAAAACACTCTTTCTGACACACACACACACACACACACACACACACACACACATCCCTTGAGGGAAAAGTAGCAATAAAATGGGAAGGCCATGTCTACTTTTCTTTTGTGTGTTGGTTGTGGGGCTTAAACTCAGGGCCTGGGTGCTGTCCCTGAGCTCTTTTGATGAGCTTTTTTTGAACCACAGTGCCATTTCCAATTTTCTGGTGGTTAATTGGGGATGAGTCACAGACTTTCCTGCCCTTTGCTGGCATCAACCTGGGATCCTCAGCTCTCAGCCTCCTGAATAGCTAAGTTGACAGACATGAAGCCACCAAACCTGGCTCCAACTTTTTGACTCCAAACTTTACTACTCTTAACTGGAGACCTTTTTTCCCATCATCTGGACATTTTTCTCCTGTCTTTCTTATGGCATCTTTCACAGTCTACTACTAACCACAAGCTAGAGGCCTCTCATGGCAAACCTGTTTATACCATCATTTGATATGTGCTTCTACACCAACCTTACTTATACCACAGGAATAAAAGCACTATGGCTTAGACGACTTGCAAATTCAAATACACTTGCCTTCGGACCTTGAGGGTCATTTTAGTAATCAGAATGCTATGTGAACAGAAATTATTCTTCATGATTCCAGGCTGTTTTACTGGACTGCAATAACCATAGGAGTCGACTTCTCTATTTACCATGTTGCAACATCTTATCTTGGGATAAGAGACATGTAACACATCTTTGAAGTCCTGATAGTTTTATTTTGGTAAAATGAGCTTAATTTGGCAACATGAGCTTTTTGGAAGGTAGAGTATCATTATTTGCTTTTCCAGCAAGTAGCCACTTGTGTGCATATAGGGCCTGCTTAATCAACTCCTGAATGTAACTGACTCAGGGTACCTTGCAGAGTTACTCTATTCCTTGGTTGGAGACAAAGAAAACACCAGCTAACCAAGAATATTGAAGCAGGGCTGGGAAGATGGCTCAGTGGTAGAGCGCTTGCCTTGCATGCCTGAGGCCCTGGGTTCAATTCCTCAGCACCACATAAGCAAAAAGAAAAAAGCCGGAAGTGGCGCTGTGGCTCAAGTGGTAGAACGCTAGCCTTGAGCTGAAGAGCTGAGAGACAGCGCCCAGGCCCAGAGTTCAGGGCCCACGACTGGACCCCAAAAAAAAAAAAAGAATATTGAAGCAAAAAGCATTAAACTTTACAGGATTACATCAACTACCAGAATATTTTTAAAAAATCTAATAAACCTATTTTGCTTAAGTATTACTCTTCAGTGATACTAGCATTGGCTTATTGCATCAAATAATATGAAATTAAGGTGTTCTTTCAAAAACACTTAAGAAGCTGAGTGTCGGTGGCTCACACCTGTAATCCTAGGTACTCAGGAGCCAGCCCAAGCAGGAAAGTCTGTGAGACTCCCCTCCCTCCCCCTCACCACAGTCTTATCTCCAATTAACCACCAGAAAACTGGAAATGGAGCTGTGGCTCACAGTGGTAGAGCACTATCCTTGAGCAAAAGAGCTCAGGGACAGGCATTGGTAGTTTACACCTGTAATCCTAGCTACTCAGGAGGCTGAAATCTGAGGATCACAGTTCAAAGTCAGCCTGGGCAGGGAAGTTCGTTTAACTCTTACCTCCAAAATCAAAAAACAAAACAAAACAAAACAAAATACTCTGAAAAAGCGAGAGTGGTGCTGTGGCTTAAGTGGCAGAGCGCTACCCTTGAGCACAGAAAGGCCCAGGGACCATGGCCAGGCCCTAACTTCAAGTCACAGGACCTTCCATGTTGTCAAATTAGGAGATCTATTACCTGTCAACAACTTGTTTATGAACCGTTTTCCACTGTTCCTTATCTGCATCAGTGCCTAAATCAGGATTCAGATTCTTGAAGGAGACACCAGCAACATTCACTCCACTCCACACTGGTACTAAAAAGAAAAGGTACAGGATATATTTATTTCTATGCACCAACGGACCAGTAATTTTAACACACTCTCTCTCTCCTGGTTTGTTCTGGTACTGGGACTTAATCATTGGGCCTCATGCTCTTGAGTAGCTTTTTTGCCCAAGACTAGATCTTGATCCTCAGATCTCAGCCTCCTAAATAGCTAAGCCTTGAACCATATTTTTAATTCTCGTATCCGAAGAGGAAGGTTATCCTTTTTTTTTTGGGGGGGGGGTCTGGTCTTGGGGCCTGAACTCTGGGCCTGAGCGCTGTCCCTCAGCTCTTCAGCTAGCGCTCTACCACTTGAGCCACAGCGCCACTTCTGGCTTTTTTCTTTTTGCTTATGTGATGCTGAGGAATGGAACCCAGGGCCTCATGCATGCAAGGCAAGCGTTCTACCACTGAGCCAACTTCCCAGCCCAGGTTATCCATTTTTTGTTGGATGGTTAAGACTATATAAAACTAAGAACTGCATAAACTAACCTATTTTCCTGGAGTGTTTAATGAACATGCCCATGGTAATTTCTTTTCATACAAAAAAATAACAAAAACAAAAACAATAGCTAAGCACTGGTGACTTACACTATAACCCACCAGGATTACAAAAAGCTAAAATGAGTTTTCAGGGTTCAAAAAGAATCCTGGCAGGAAAGTCTTACAAGACTTTTCTAAGGACTTTAATTGAAGATCAATGTCACAGTAAGAATGCTGGACTGAAGTTATTCAAGTAGAACACCAACTTTGAACAAAAAAAAAAACAGCAGAGGGTAGAACCCCAAATTTAAGCCCCATTATTGGAGAAAGATGAAGAGGGGACAGGCTATGCAGGAAACCATTACCCTGGTTCGTGGATACTTGAAAGGCTCTAATCTGACAATGAAACACCAGAAATTTCTATGCTGTCTTTTAGAAACAATAAGCCTAGTGCTTACCACTTGAGTCTCCATGCTCCCCAAGAATCCATCCATGACAGCTTAGTGG